CATCATGGCTTCTCTTCGATGTATTTTCAATAAAAAATCTACGAGTATTTCAGAGCTATGGTTTACTGTGAAGAGTACAAAGTGGGATATTAAATTATTTATCCTCGATGATTTTTATGTAGTATTGAGAACAAACTCCAGGAAGCGAACGCACAATAATGAATAATCGCGTAATCCCAGAATCGAAACGCGAGGCACAGAAGTTTTGTTCAGCGTTTCCAATCCCATTTTTCCCACTGCAACATATTTGTTAAAAGAAATATTTGAATTCTGTTCGTTTTTTAAGGAGGCAATTTTTTATTTTTTCTGATTTTGGTAACGCCTTATTCAGGGATTTTCTAAGACAGTCGCAGACAATCAGCGCACGGATGTACGTACAAAACATGCTTTTGTACTACCGGCGACGGTCGCCTGCAAGAAGAGAGCTCCAGCTCCTAACGTAAAAGTTTTAAAATTTCGACCAGTTTTAAATAATTTGTGTTGGAAATCTAACATGTTTTATAAGTGCAAAATTAAGGTGCATTTTCGAGCGGTCGAATTTTTCTGAATAGAAATCAGCAAATGAAAAAAATAGGAGTGCTAAACAAGTGTGTTCGTTAGTTTATAAAAAAATGGAATGTCCATCAAATTGACGTAAACTTCCCCATTTTTCATGGAAAAAGCAAAGGTCGTGGCCGAGTTGCAGGCTAAATCAAAGAAAGCTTAGAAAGAACTCCCGTGTGCTGAGAAGAGTATTGGAGACAAATTAAAAATTAATTCAAAAATACTTATACTTGAGATATTGATGGAATAGCTGAAAACTAATTATGCAAATAAGGTAACTAATATGAACAGATTTAAGTGTAAAACTAATAAGGTCTGCACAATGTACAAGTTTCATCGAAATGTGATTATAATCAAACAAATATTAATTATTATGCTAATTAGAGAATTAATATGAACAGATTTTAACCCAAAATTAATCAGGCTGTCTATTGTCCTAGAGCATTTATGTACCAAGTTTTATTCAAATGTGATGATCAATACTAGAGATATCAGTATTAATTAATTATGTTAATTAGGTGATTAAGAAGCATAAATATTTACCAAAAAACTAATATGGTGTATAGTCCTAGGTTCATTGAAATGTGACAGGTACTCTTTAAAAGTTTCATTAAAATCCAATGAGTGGTTTTTAGACATCAGTGCAATAGCCATAGAACAGCAAAAAATTAACTAATTATGCAAATTAGGTAATTAATACATGTAGGCACAATTATTTATCCCAAAATTAATCAGGTCTCTGCATAGTCCTAGAATTGGTACATAGTTACTTGAGGACTGTGCAGACCCCTGATTAGTTTTTGGGTAAATATGTGTGCATATTAATTACCTTATTAGCATAATTAGTTAATTTTCAGCTTTTCACCTGATATCCCAAGTACTAATCATCACATTTCAATGAGACTTGCGACATAGATAGTTTCATTGAAACGTGATCATTACTACTCGAAATATCAAAAGCTGAAAATTAATTAATTATGCAAATTAGGTAATAATAAGTACTGATATTACCCTAAAAAATATCAGGTCTGTGCAGTGTCATATGCATCTATGTACCAAGTTTTATTGAAATGTTATGATTAGTACTTGAGATATCAGTGGAAAAGCAGAAAATTGATTAATCATTATGTAAATTAGATAATTAATAATATTAACAGATTTTGACCCAAAACTAATCAAATCTGCGCATTAGTTCAGAGCATCCATGTGCCAAGTTTCATTGAAATCCAATGAGTGGTTCTTCAAAAATCAGTGGAACAGTCATGGAACAGCTAAAAATCAGCTAATTATAATGCAAATTAGGTAATTAATATTCATAGATTTTTACCAAAACCTAATCAACTCTGCGCATTATCCCAGAGCATCTATGTACTAAGTTTCACCAAATTTTGATTAGTGGTTCTTGAGATAACGGTAGAACAAAAAAAGTGACATACATACATACATACATACAGACATACATACAGACATACAGAGAGGGTAACTGCAAAGACTCCCTTTTGTGCTTCGCACACGGGAGTCAAAAACTCAAAAATCAAAACAAAATCATCAATCAGTAAGTATTATGACAAGGAAAACAAAACATCAGATGCGGAGAAGTGGTCGGTCAGTGCGTCAAAAGAGTTGTTAATGTATCAAGTTACCTCTCTCTGTGATTTATTTTTCATTGAAATTATTTGCTTGTTTTCAATTAATTTTAGCGTACCTCTGCAATTTATTTTAGCATTGTCAGTTGTTTGCTTCATTGAATTAAACGGAGTTCATCCGGTTGCAAACAAAGCTGTCTCGCACCACCTAGCAAAACTTGCGAATGATCGGAAAGTTTGTATCTCCCCGACCCAGTGCAATATATCCGGTTAGAATCAAAGCTCACGTGTCCCTTATTTTAGGGACCAGATTCTGCCGTAAATTCGGGTTGGGATTTAGAAAAAATAAAATACGACTTTTAATGTGTATTTTGGCGTCATTTTCGGACATTTCAAT